AGAATTAAACTACCAGAATGCATCACACTTAATCCTATAGTTTGTAGGCATTAAATGAACTAACATTTTAATTTACCTTTTATTTGATATTTTCTGCCATCCATGGGCTACCAAAATACAGAACCCCATGCTAGGAACATACAATACTCGCTCAGCAACAACAAATCCAACTGGAAAAAAAAGGTTTGATGCAGGAATAAATGGTAGCACCATTAAACAAAGTGCCTAGAAGGAAAAATAAAACAATACGTTAAAAAATATATATGGACACTTAACACTCAAATCCAAATATCTGCTTATTTTCTTGGCATTTGGTTTGAGTAATGCACTGTGGACCATTTTTAAATACTAGTTTAAACATAAAAGAGTACAAGATGGTAATAAGAAACACCAGGGTGTATGGAAGCAAGGTAGGATGGAAGTTTTCTTGAAAGCTAGAACTTATAAATTAGAGGATACTCATAGGCTTTCTTCAAAAAAAAAGATTCCCAGGTGTGCTTAGAAATTATTTCTTCTTGAAATTAAAGTGGAGCATTTTAAATTTAAAAAGCATAGTTAGCTATGTGTGACTGGTTTTCTGTGAGGAATATAATATGCTTGCAGAGTAAAATATAAAAGCTCTAACTAATAAAGGTAAATATTACACCTTTAAGCAAAGCTTAGATCACAAAGGTTCATCCAATTAAATAAAAAAGTAGATATATGTTTTGAAACTACATCTAACATAACACATTGATTTTTTACACATCTAACTTACGTGTACGTAGTAAAAATAAATTGACAGGGAAAGATACTAAAAGGTTTTTCAACAAAACACAACTAAAAAGGTTGCTAAAACAGCCAGTTTTTTTTTTTTTTTTTAACTTTACTACTATATGTAACCACATGATATTAGAAATTGAAGGAATGGAATAAGGTGTGGTTTGCACAAGACAGCAGAGTACTGCCTCTGACCTTAGCATTACTTTGAATAATATTCTGATGAGTCACATATATTTTATTAGAGGTTTATTAGTGTATGTATAAAAATAAAACTGTCTCAAGTCAATAGTCTGCTAATCTATGAAGATTTCTAAAATTATAATACTGTAAACTGAAAAAAAAAAAAAAACTCACAAAAATGCTTACATGTCTTGGCCATTTTGAAAATGTGATGGCATAGGTTTCATGATTAAAAAACCATTACAAAATTTTGGTAGCACACAAATAACTTGTGGAAGGAAACAACTTTGGTTGTCATTAAGAAATCTGTTTCAATGAACATCTGCTTCCACATTTTGTTACTCTGATTTGTTCTATAGAACTTAACTGAATAAATACATCAACTGTTTAGCTCAGAAGTTTGAGACTCTTCTAATGGGCTGAAGGGAAAGTTTTTTTCTTGATAATACTTTAGCAGTAAATTATGGATGTAGAGATGTATATACTGTACATTGTAAAGAATTCTTTCTCCATGAATGTTTTATAATTTATGACTTGTAATGAAGCAATAGTGAATCTGAGGAAAAGCACCATATTATACCAATTTGTGTCTGATTTTTAGTGTTCATTTTTTAATCAAAAGGCAAAATGTTAAGAGTGGATATAATTCACTTTCAATGTCTCCGAAATGCTTGATAAAAATAAACAGCTAGCTATGAAAAAGATAAAGAGACATTACTAAATGTTCTTTTTTAATTCACAGCTACCCTAAACCAATTTCATTTAAGGAATTAAAAGTGTTAAATTCTTCAAAGATGAACTGTAGAGTGATGTATAAGCTATACAAACAAAAATAATCTCTCAGGAAAAATCTACTGGTTCTGGAACAAGGAATGCCTTTAATGATTAATTTACTCAGAAGTTCTAACATGCTCTCTATCAGTGTAGGCCAACTTAATTAACTAACTATGACTAACGTAATTTCCTTCTTTTGGTAATGTAAACTCTTTAAAAATAAGGATGACAGTGGAAAGAGCAAAGGATTTGGACACAAATCTTTGTTTTACTTCTTACTTCCTATGTAATAAAAGGTAAACTACTTAATCGTCCTGAGACTCAATTTATCAAGAAAATGGGAATAACAACTATTTACATTATGGTG